AGCAGCAGCGGCGGCGGCGGCGGCGGCGGCGGTGGCGACGGCACGGGCCGCGGGCCGGTCACGGCCAGTCCCGACCAGACACCGTCCCCCGGCCCTCGCCGGCAACTGGCGTCACCCGGCGAGTGATTCAGCGCCAGGTAAGAACCGCACCTCACCAGCGGCGCCAGCTCACCGGCGGAGATGAAAGATGACGTATACGCGTACTATTCGGAAAATCAGCCACCCGGGTATGACACAATGTCCCGAGGCCTGGGGGTCCATGCATAGAAACTAACTATGCATTCACATTTTTGCGAATCGTTCAAATATACGATATACATCTGCTCACCAAATATGACGTTTTCGTCATTTTTGCCGTGAGGTAGCGATGCCGACGGGTAGTGATGTCACGTCACCATTGCTGGGCAGTTCCTGTAAGTGATGTGAGCGATGGCGCCGTGCCGGGAGGGGACACTTCATCTCTCCTCTCTGTCTCGACGATGTGCTGCTGGCGCCCGCAGGTCCGGCTTCGCTGACCGCCTCTGTCTGCGGGTTAGGGCGCACGGCTCTGAGGGGCTCTGGGGTGCGCACCTTCTCCGAAGTCGGCCCGGGGCTGACTTCTGGGAGCTCTGCAGTTTCGTCGGAGCAACAGCCATTTGAGGCTCGTCTGATATGCTGGCTGATAGGGACATATTCAGCATTTAGTTCTACGTTTGTTAAATACTTAGAATGGGGCAACTGAAAGGATCATCGAAAACCGGTCTCATGAACAGCGTAACATCGTAAGCAACACACAATGATTCCGACAAATTTCCCCTTGTGAGCAATATTTTCACATTCCACATTTCAGCTATGGACTTCATGTGCTGGTCGGGCTGGCCGGGTGAGCCCAGAAGAGCCCACAAGTGTGTGTGTGTGTGTGTGCTCACTGCAGGCGCCCCTCAGAGTCCCTGGAGTGGAGGTGCACGGCAATTTGTCAATGCATAGGCAGCGGCTGGCGGGCGGATTCGGCCGGCTATATTTGGTCAGGCCAGGGGACATAAAGTGGCCGACCTTCCCGTCCGAGCGGCGCCCGCCGCGGTCACGGTCGGGCCGAGGTCACAGCGGCGGCGGCCAGCGCAGTGGTGGACGGGCGACCCGCTGACAGACTGCACTGCAACGACAGCCTTGAGCTGGTGCAGACTGTGGTCCCAACTGCGGACCTAGTGGGACGACTACCCGCCCACCCAGTCCCGCATCTAGTGGGATATGTTAATCAGCTATCAAGCCCAGCTCCGGATTCAGGGGAGCTAGATGACCCAGGGGCAAATTACCCAGCCCCGAACGCAGATGTGCACACTGTCCGTCTAGCCAGGACCTGCTACGAAGAGTGGTGGCCATGCAACAATGGAGCGCTACGATTGGCAATGGGCCAGGTACCCTGTATGTCGACGGAGCGAGTTTTCCACCGTTCGGTCAACACGCTGAACATCGTGGGAAGACGCTCAGGTCAAACATGTAAATAAGATACAGGCTATTTGACTAATGGCTTGCGTTAAATTCGGGCACGGCAAGCGCGACAGCCGCTCCATCAATTTCATTCCGCCTGAATTGCCTGAATTGACCTTCCGCGGCGGCCCGGCTGGGCGGCTGGTGTTCCGGGTCTGCCGCGTCGCCGGGGGTGCCGTCAGTCGCGCCGCTGCTCCGATCGCCTCCCGACCGCCGATGGCACGGCATCGCGCCGTGACGGCTGTTCACGCCGAACAATACCTACACGGCAGGTGATGCAACAAGCGTGCCGAGTGGCCGCCTAATGGTGACGGAGTCCCGGCGAGGTGTGGTCAGCGCGCTGGCGCAACCCGAGCTGCGCTGACCGCTACACACACATAGATAACGCCCAGGACCGCACGGACTGACCGCCGCAGTCGCGTCAGCACGTCAGCGGCTCTCACGGAGAACAGCGGCGGTAATTGTCACGTCATGTTTGCCCAGTGGTTTCTGAAGAATCATAATGTAATGGTGATTTACCTCCCGACGGTGATACGCATCAGACGAGCGGTCCTCCGCAATAACCACTGCGTTCCAACAGCCCTTTCTCTCAGCCAGACATGTATGACGGTGAGTTCTCATTAAACCATCAGCGCAGATTCCAGAATAGCCTTGCATAACCATCAGAATACGGCCTGTTCATGCGCGGTGTCAGACCATGCAGTCCAGACGGTGGCGGCGAGGTTTCGATTTCATAGGAATGCATGACCTCACCAGGCACAACCAATTCGTATGCCACGGCACACTTTCGACGCTGGCGGCTCCTATAGCTCTGGCATTTCCCAGAGGCGAGTCTCGATCATCCGGCGTCCGGCTCCGACAGACACGGTGTAGTTCCGATCGCCCTAGGGCACGGGGTTCCACTAATCACCGCTCGGTTCGGGGAGCTGTGACGTCACAGGGTCGGACCCGGGCGGCCTCCGTCTGTCCGGAACTCCGGACCCTCGCCCCGGGGCCGGGCGCGCCCCTGTCGATGGAGCGGAGGGGGCTGGGATGGGGGTGGGGAGCTCTCGGGGTGGCGGTGACGTCACTGGACTGTGTCTGACGTCACTGGACTCACGAAGCTGAGCTGGCGCGTGCTGGCTCGTGCCCTGGAGAGAGGGGGCCGAGACGGGCCCGTTAGAATTGGAAGGCCACGACTGTGTCTGCAGGTGGCGATCTTGAAGATTGTGGCGATGCGATAGTGACTATGAGGCAAATGGGTTTTGACCTTAGTCCGGCTGAGACGGCCGCGCTGTTCCGCCCCCCCCCCCCCCGCCCCCTCTCCCGTATGAGCCCAGAGCTAACTTACAACCGAGCTAACCGACAACCGAGCTAACTCATCATCTACAACCGACAGCCTAATGGTCTTGGGGCTGCGAGTACCGTACGCGGCTCAACCTTCCTCCTGGCGACCGTACACAGCCATTTGACACAGCTCCCGTACGGAGCTCCTCTGCTGCAGCGGACCCGTTTGGCGCACTCATCTGGTGCAAATGACGCTGTAACCCGCGCTCTAGTGCCCGTGCTAATGGGTGACACTTAGCGCACTGATGGTGCCCGGTCCGTTGCAGGGCATGTCAAGCATGGGCCGCCGGATGGCCCAGCTTGCACACAGGTTGGTTCGATGGCGGTAAGGCTAGGCCGGCTTTGGAGAAAACCCTCAGCTCTAGGTGGATTATGGGCCACAGTGCGGTGCCTAAAATGGTGCCACAAGTCATTGTTATTTTGGAAAGGTTGTGCTTTTTATATTTTGTTACCTTGAGCCGATCAGGAACCATGGTTGAAAGTTTTATAGTGGTGGATTTAGACACCTTTTTGATGGGACGGCTTAAGTGATAGGGGAAGGTCGGATAACGTTCGAAATGAATAAACCACATACCGGAAAATTGAACTAAAAACATTACAGTGTTGAAATGTCAGAGGTAGCGGATTGTTGTGAAATGATGGCCTAGAGACAACGGATTTCACAAGTTGTAATGCGACGTGAAGGAAAATCGGTTTAAAAACTCATCGGATGGCATCGAGAGTGAACGGTGTTAGCTTTGATAAGCGTTTGCCGTTGACTATTGTCGTAATTTAATTATAACCAGTTTAATTGTCATGCCCTAATTTTGCATGCTGTTCAGGTAAAAATAAACCCATTTTCACACAAGCACCTCATAACAGCCATGTGATCGTGCCAACTTCTCCAATTCTGATAAGCATTAGGAAATATTTGCAACTGCGTCAAACCATTTCGTCTGAGACCTGCGTCGATCACCGCTTGTGACGTCTATTATGAAGGAAAAACTGACGTGCGGTCCGACTGAAGTTAATGATTTTACCGTCTGTCTGATTTGTGACTGTATGGGCCTCGCAAGAAACGGACAACCATCTCGCTTACCTACCTCTCCCACGGCCAATTTATTGGTACATTAGGGCTGATGGACCGCGGCCAATCCCCAAATGGTCTGAGTGGCCCCACCACAGGCGCTCCCGTGTCTGATCAGCGCTGATGGACGAGGCTGCCGCTCGGGATCGAGGCACTGTGCGGGGCGAGTCAAACGGCTCCGTCTGCGCGTGTTGAACGCCATACGGAGGTTCAACTACCACAGCCGTCATTGTCAGTCTCTCAGCCAGCTCGTCAGTTCATCCCGGAAGAGTTCGTGCTGGACCAAAGGACAACCATCTGTCATGAATTCATTCACGTTTCCCGAATATTGGCCAGCCCGCAGGCTGGATTTCCTGTGTTGTTCTGAGCATAAATCCTAATCTGCACTCCCTGTGGGACAATCAAGACTCACTATTTAACCCTCTGCAACGACTACAGAGTCCCCTCCGTCTCCCTCTGGTCAGCTCATATTAGCCGTTTTCACGACGGCCATCTGGTACACATTTGGTGCACATCTGGTACAGATCAGGTGCAGATTTGGTCAAATCAGTTTTTTTTAAATAAATTTAGTCCGAACCTTTTGATAGGAAGGATTCACAAGGACAGAGCCAACGCTAAGCGAAGCTTGTTGCGGTGACCCTGCCCTCTACCCTCCGATCGCGCAATTTCAGTTCTATGGCAGAATTTAGAGTCCAAAGTTTAACGTGCGCACATAGCCGCGCACGGCCGGTCCCCTCACTGACTTCGCCTGGCTACGGCCTGCCACCAACCGCAACCATACCTGTCAGGAGGCCCATAAATGTCGAGCGCCCGTCGCGCTTCGAACCCGGACTGTTATAACCGGGAACGCGTGCTCTCACCCCGCGGAGTCCAACGCTCTACCAACTGAGCTACGGGACCGGCAAGGTTCAGTGTGTCTCTTAGCAGAGCTATCAGCTAGGGTTGCACTAATTGCTTATATGCCTGCTTTGTCATATTATCAGAGAGCATCATCGATTAAAACACTGAAATAAATTCATAAAATGAAGATATTTGCTGTAAAAGAGATTAGGTGCAAATTTGGTCAAATCAGGTGCATTCGCCGGATAGCCCGTCGTGAAAACGGCTGCTTGCACCATCCGGGCCGGCCGGCCGGACTCACCTCTGTAGCCCTCCGGGATGACGATGGCCGGCCCGACCTCCTCCAGGTCGCCAGTCTCGCTGCGCATCAGACTGCGCGCGTGAATCTTCACCGACTGGTAGACGCGGTACAGCAGCACCGGCCGCGACAGGTCCACCTGAGTGCGCAGCTCTGCCGACCGCTGCTCTCCTGTGGTGATCCGCACCAGTGCCGGCAGCGCGTGTGAGCGCAGAAACTCGCGAAGACTGACCGTGTCCGTGCGGCGCGACACACCTGTCGAGCTGGCCGAGCGCTCCAGGGGCGGCTGGGGCGAGCCGAGCGCGGCCCGCCGCGCCGAGCCGGAGCCCGAGCTGCCGGGGTACGCGGCCATCATAGCGGCACACCAAGCGACACGTCCTGACCGCGCCGAGTCCGAGGGGCGACTGACGGCGCGCCGGCCTTGGGACGCCGCCGCCGCCGCCGCCGCCGCGCCGCAGCGCCGAGCCGACAGCGCACAGCGGCGGCGGAGGGTGCAGCCCGGGGAGGGAGGTGTGTCTTTGCACGGAGCCGGCCAGCCAGACCCAGCCGCCTCCGCTGACAGCCTCCGGAAACACACAACCGCTCAATTTAGCGGCCATTTGACAGCTACATCACACTGCACACGGTCGTAAGTGGATAGGTCGGTTAGAGCCATCTGATATCTTAGAATAGATCGTTCATTAAATTGTCACCACTTCTTCAAGCTTTTTTTCTCAGATTTAACTGATATGCGTTGATGAATTCAATGCCAGTTAATACCGTTACTCACACTTGTGTCCATGACTCCATATCATTAGCTACCATGTATCATATTTTCAAGGCATGATTTGATTGATGCAATAATTGTTATAATGCTTGTACGTACCTATACGATTGATTCAGAACGGTAGCAAATAGTCCCACCATAGTTCGGCATGCCGTTTATGCATGCATGTGTCTGTATCTCCATCGGCAAGTGCAGCTCTAACGGTTTCAATAACGAAAGCGTCTGCCTGCCCAATGACTAATCTTCAGCCTAATCGTGGCCGTTATGGACATGTTGCACGCTACCTACCGTTAGTTTATTCACCATGTCATCAAAACTGCTATCTTGGAACGGCAGAAACTACGTATGAGTGGACTGTATGTTCTATTCAACAATCTCGTGGACCAGCCTGAGATAGTCGGCGTAATCTATACAATGGACTTATTTCCGATGTTCAACAGGAAGTAGCCACAAATGCATGTTGATTGTTGATCTCCATAAAATATTTGTAGTTTATTCTATAAAGCTCATCATTATCGCATCGGTTACATGCAAGTATGGTTACTTTCCCGATGGAGCTTGTATTGTTTCTGTTTCTTGACAACTCTAACCACAAGTAATCCTTGATATATTCATAAAGTCAATGCGCGGTCCCTATTGCTTGTGTAATAAGGAGTTTCCAGTTGTCTGCAAAGTTGCATAATAGGAGCGGAGCCGTCGGTGTAAATTCGGCGAAACAGGCTGTCAAAGGTGCCTACGCTGAACTGATGCTTATCACAGTGAGCTTTTCATGAATGTTGGAAGGAATTACTGATGGGATATACCAGATACGTTTTCCTTGAGAAAAACTGAACGGATCTAACCATAGAACTAACCATAAAACTACACAGACAGTTCAGTTTAGCACGACATGGCGTTGAAATAGTCTTTACTGTATGTATCATGTGAAACGCTAATAAGCAATCAGTGAGATCACTTAGCAATAAGATAAACAACAATACTAGCAAACAATCTTCCTAGTTCCTACCATCGTTTTTCGGGAGGAATGCTTGTCATGCCTCGACATTTCGTTTTCCAACCATGGACGACAGACCTCACAAAGTCGCAGCATAATCAATCGCCAAACTTTTGGATTACTACAGACTCTTTAATCATTAACTCCAATATTTTTATAGTTGTTGGTCCAACCGTTTGAAATTAAGTGCTTAGCTTCATAGATTGTTTTGGGTAATGTTGGTATTGTACACGTGGTAATGTATTGATATACGAGTGTTGTTACAACAAGTCATCCGTGGTCAGAACAGAAATTTAGACAGCAGCCTCGTAATAATGATAGATGATATGACTGTGGTGCATTTATGGGAGCGTAGCGCCACAGCACGCTTTGAACGAGGTGTTATCTGAATGATTTCACTTGTGAATAGAACGTTAGTTTCGTGTGTACGAAGATGACGCTTCAAAAGTTCACCACTTGTGTCTATTATCACAGACAGTTGTGACGTCTTAATTTTTAAAATATACCTAGAAAAGAAAGAATATTGCAAAGACGAATATTTTATGACGGAACATGTTGATTGAGTCTTTCACTTACAGGACGTTCGTAAATGCAAAAATACTGTTCAGCAATTATGCAGAAATTAGCGCATGCATCGATAGCGCTCGTCCTCTGCACTCATATTGATGTTCCGTATGCTGAGTAAGCACAAAACCGTTGTGACCCCCGCTGACCTCTGCAGCCCTCCGTCTCCCTCTGACCCCGCTGACCTCTGCAGCGCTCCGTCTCCCACGATGGGGTGTCGGTCGGCCGAGTGGCGATCGCTGTCCTCTCCTGTACTCCCGAGTACCGAGACGGCCACCGACACTTTTTGCCGCCGCAATCACCTGCCGAATCAGAGGGCCTCCGCATGGCGCATCTCATGAGCGGGCCTTCCGTCCCTCCTGTCCCGCCAGTCCTTCAGTCCCGACAGACTGCCAGTCTGACCGTCTACTTCGTCTGGCTGTGTCGTATGTCTGGCCACATGTCCGTCCGTTTGTCGTCTTTCCGTCTCCCCCGTCGTCTGCATGGACAGGAGACCTGTCCAATGTCCACTGCCAGTTTGTTTACCTACTGTTTGTCCGGATATATGATTTGCTTGCAAAGTTTCTATGAAGCAGACCCTTAATTGATTTTTTTTAATTAGTTTATTATTATTTTTAAAGCTCAAGTTTAATTGAAAACTGATCGGAAGAAAATGAGTAGGTAACTTTGTAATGCACCCTTAGTAGCTAGTGCAGTAGGTATAACAAATAATGCGGTTTTATAAATGATGTAGGCAATTATCAAGTGCATTATAGCATTTCCTTGACGAATGCAAGCCTCATGTTCTCACCCAACCATCCCACCTATCATTTTACTTAGCATGACAAAAGATGTAAAGAGAATCTCCCGCAAATGCTATCAGGGTGTGTTAAGGTTACCTCACCATTTTCAATCAAGGAAGTCGGCTCGACTGTGCGGTATTTGTTTCGTCGTCACCGGTTGCACGCGACAGCTCCGTCTATTTTTGTGATGGGTCGTCATCCTGTTAGGTGAGCGTCCGCAGCAGTCCAAGTTTGTTATCGTGACAGGATCGTCTGCCGCCTCGCGGCGGCGTGGCTATGGACTGTCGTCAGGCGGAGGCCGGTTTGGCCGGGGATTACCAGGGTCGGCAGCCGACCGCCGCCGGAGGACTCGGTCAGATAATGGCAGCTGCCGACTGCCAGCTCTGGTATAGCTGCCGACTGCCAGCTCCGGTATAGCTGCCGAGTGCCGACTGCCAGCTCTAGCAGCTGCCGACTGCCAGCTCTAGCAGCTGCCGACTGCCAGCTCTAGCAGCTGCCGACTGCCAGCTCCGGTATAGCTGCCGACTGCCAGCTCCGGTAAAGCTGCCGACTGCCAGCTCTAGCAACTGCCGACTGCCAGCTCCGGCAGCTGCCGACTGCCAGCTCCGGTATAGCTGCCGACTGCCAGCTCCGGTATAGCTGCCGACTGCCAGCCCCGGTATAGCTGCCGACTGCCAGCTGGTATAGCTGCCGACTGCCAGCCCCGGTATAGCTGCCGACTGCCAGCTCCGGTATAGCTGCCGACTGCCAGCTCTAGCAGCTGCCGAATGTCGGCTCTGGCAGCTGCCGTCTGCCAGCTCTGGTATAGCTGCCGAATGTCGGCTCTGGCAGCTGCTGAAATTTCGCGACTGCCAGCTCATGGCAGCTGTAGAATAGCGACTTCGGCAGCTGTCGAATGTCGGCTCCTGCAGCTGCTAGATAGAAGGTGTGATAAATGGGGACTGCCAGCTCTCGCAGCTCCTGCTCCCGAATGGTAGTTCTGATAAAGCTCTGCGAAATAGCAATTCCAACACTGTTGCGTGGCTCTGACGGCAGCTCCGAGTTCTGACAGCACGCAAGTATCAGCTTTAGGTGCACTGGCACGTATCGTCTGCCTAACATCAGTTTTGACAAAGCTGCGTACATTCAGAGCTGATATTAAGGGGAAGTTGGGGGAACGCCGAATACTTTTTTCTGACGCCCGTAGCACGCAAGGTAGACAACAGAAGCTATTCTTGTTGGCGTCATTCGAGAGGCCAGTCTTTTGCCTTTTAAACACACCAGGCGCATTTGATGAATTCGCATACCGTTAAGCGCCCAAACTAAAAATATCAAAAAAGTGACTTTTTCGGCGTTGCCCCGGACTGCGGGGAAAGCCGAAAATGGGAGAAATGATCTACGGGGAATGTCGAAATTGATGTTTTGCCATTTTATCTCAAACTTTATCCAGAATTCATCAAAGCTGACACACGTTTTAAGAGCTTAAGGACGCTTGGTGCACACTGGAAGTTATAATTGTATGATATAATAAGAAAAGGCCAGGTAAATCATTCCTTATATGTAACAGGCCGTTGTGTCGGTTGAAAGTGTGATTTGCGTGGCTAAAAATACGCGTTGCTATTCTACAGCAGTAAAGTCCACGTAGCGTGCTTTAACGTGCGTAATTGCACGTTTTCGGCATTACCCTAGCCAGCCATACTTTCATTTGCAGGCCCATAACTTTTCAGCGTGCTGTATAAATTTCAAATAGGCAGCACACTTATGCAAAGACATGCTGAAGATTACTTGACCGAATTGGCCAGACAAACGGTAGCATAATGAGTAAGAAATGCAGCTTCAAAGGCGCATGTAGTACAAGGGAAACGTACCTTGAAAACGCTCTTGGCGCCCTCACAGCCAAAGTATTCCGAATGACGACTCGTAACAAACATGTGATAATTGGTAGTCACCTAAGCTTCAGAGCATCACTGACAGGTGGCATCCATGTCGAAAGGTTTTCGAAATATCTCGAATTTCGGCTTTGCCCCAACTCCGGCATTGCCCCAACTTCCCCTAAATAATTTGATTTAACCCGCGCCCTGGTGGGGTCTGTTTATAACGCGACCTGGTGGGGGGGCTATTTTTTGCCCCCCTCGTATCTCCAAAACTACTGAACGGATCCGCAAAATTCAAACGGCGTTCGAAAGGCCTGTCAAATTTGTTGAAGGAAACCAAATTTCATTTACCTCGGGGTCACCGATGACGTCACAGGTCAGGTCAAAGATGAAATGTTCACCGTTCACGGGTCATCTAGGGAATGCGCTATAACACCGAAG